CTGACACCCAGTATCTTCTCTCCAAATACCATTTGCTCCTTTTCCCAGCCTCCAGGCACCCCATTCTTAGGGGCCCTGCTCCCTTGCCTCATGCTGTGTCCCACAGTGTTCTCCATGCCACGTGCCCCCCACGCCCTGGGGCACCCTGCACCATGCTCCCCCATCACCTGGTGCCGTACCGCAGTGCAGCCCTCGATGAAGGCCAGGCAGTGCTGCTGGAGGTCTGTCTGCCCATAGGCCACCGCCGCCTGTGGGACAACACAGACACCTGCAAGTGAGCCTGGGGAAGGAGGGACCCCCCCCTCAAAGCCCTACAGAGACATGGGCACTCTCAGGGACCCGGGTGAGGTGGACACCCCTGTGTGTGGGTATCATGGTGAGGGTGTGGGGAAGAAGGGGACCTTCTGGCCTGACCCACGGCAAAGGGTTTTTTTTGGTGGCTTTAATGCCCACAATGGTCATCCAGTTCCACCATCAGCAAGAGACCTTATTTTCCACTGCTGCTCAGGAACATCACCCAGCCCACAGTTTGGGGGGAGAAGCCCTGGTGTTGCTCTCACAAGGTCACTCTGTGGGCATAGAGGACCACCAGTCCCCAGTGCCCTGTTGCCAGCCTGACCCATAGCTGCCATCCCCTACTGCAGCAGGAATTTGGGGTGCTCTCATTCCCCCCAGCTCTACCAAGCAATGCTTGTCCCAGGGCTGGCACTGCCCTGGGCAGCAGGAGGGCACGTCTCCGTCCCCCTGTGGTGGCAGCCCCTGTGTGCAGGGTGTTTGGGACCAGCACAGGCAGGGTGAACATTGCCTCCCCCTCCACCACAGCAGGGGACCAGCGCTGACGCAAGCGGGGAGGGAAGACAAGCTGTTTTCTTCAGGTTTGTTTTGTTCTGGGGTTTTGGGGTTTCTTGTTTTGTTTCCTTCAGGCCAGTTTTAGCTCTGTTTATGCCACGGTGGTCTGGCATCACATCTGGCTGGAGCTCTGTGCTCTGGGGCAGGCACCTCACCCCAAGAGGATCCCTTCAGCTTGTGGGAGATGAAACAAATCCCCTTCCTCTGGGGAACAGCCTTGGTCCCACCAAGTAGCACGGCAGAGCCATCAGGACCTCCCTGAGGCTGTTTTTAGGTGCCACAACTCTCAGCAGGGGTTTTTGGGACTGGCTCCCAGAAACCCAGTGCCTCCCCATTTCATGCAGATGATGGCAAGGCCCTGGCACTGGGGAGTTCTGGCCATCCCTGCTCAGGGTAGTGTGAGGACATTTCTCTGGCAGGCTCTGGTGGCCCCAGTGTCTCTTGCAGCCCTGATACAATAGGCTGGCAGGGCAGCTTATAGACCAAAGCTGTGTGGATGGTGGTAGCACCACTATCCAGAGCAGGAGGCCAGCTCCTGTCCCAAATTTTATGGTTATTTTTAACCCTCTTTGACACTACAGGTGTTAGTCTTACCTGCAGGGCCTCGCAGACCTGCTCCACACTCAGCGTGTCCTTGATGAACTTCACGCAGAGCTGGAAAGCAGACAGGGAGAGGTTGGGCAGAGCAGGGACCCAACCCTGCCATCCCCACGTGCAACTCTCAGCATCCCCTGAGTCCCCAGGACATGGGTCACAGAGCAGAGGCACTTTCAGCCCCCCCAGGGTTTCATAAGATAGCAGTGGGCTGAGGGATGAGGTCTCACAGCATAGCTGTTGGCAGCCAGCTTGGCCACTGATTAAGCCAGGGGCCAAGCTTGATTTGACCAAACCCAGCCAGCCTGATAGCCCCAGGTGGGTCTCATTACCCTGTCGACAAACAACAGCCATGTTCTGCCACAGGGAACAATCCTGGTGCCAGCTGCATTGGGTGATCCCAGCTTTGACTCGGCCTTGCCTGCCAGCTGTGCGCTGCCTGTGACTGCTGGGGGACTCCTCCTGCATCCCACACATGAGTGATGCAGGTTGGATGCAGCCAGACCTGCACAATTATTGACAAGTGGGACCTCGCTCCTGCCCATCTCAGCTGCTTGGCAGAGTCCCTGGGAAACCCAAGGGGATGTCACATGCAGGGAGGAGTCAGCTGGGGCAGAAGGGCCCTGAGTCATTGGCAGGCGGGACATGAGGTCACCCTGCTTCTAGGGATACAGTCACAGACTTCCGAGCTATCCTTGGTCAGCCCCCTTTGCTCCCACCCCTCCTCATGCCTCTCCCCACTGCAGGTCATCCCCCCTGAGGATGCATTTGCTGGGTGATGGGGTGTGACTTGTGTGGCTGGAGCACTGGGTCCCCCTTTTTTTCAACACCCCTTAAGCTGTTTGATAGCTCTGTACCATATCTGAGCTTTGGCCCCACAGGGTGATGGGGCAGGTCCCATCCCACCACCCTGGCACACAGCCTGTGGTTCCTCAGCTCCTGAGGTGCTTCCCCAGTGTGGTGTGAAGGGAGGGGAAGTCCTGGCCCGAGACAGCAGGTCACGCGTTCAGCCTGCTGTAATTCAGGAATCAGCCTGATGACGTGGCCTGGCCACCCTCCCCGACACCGAGCTGCTCCAGCTCCCTGCCCCCTCCTCTTTGCTCCCTGCTGTCCTCCCAAAACCTTCCCACCAAAGCAGCATCCCCTTGGCAGCACCACATCCAGGGTGCTGACTGCTCCCAGGGGTCAGGGCTTTCTTTACTGTATCACTGCCAAATGACCACAGAGAAATCCTGGGCAACAGCACAGGGGCTTTCCGGCTGCTCTTTGCTGTGTGGGAGACGTGAAACCCCACGGCCTTCCCCGTGATTTCCCAGGATTCCCCTGCAGGATTTCTGGACAGTGGTGCACCCCCTCAAGGGGGATCCCCCTGCAGAGACCTTCCAGGATCGAGAAGCAGGGCTGAGCCTGCTCTGGACCTGAGTGATGCACCACAGTGCTTTCCTCAGAGCCACCTTCAGCCACCAGCCATGCAGGGACCATCTTGGGGTGCTCCCCAGCATGGGGACACTCAGAGACCACCACCCCCAGTCTAAATAGGGCTGTACCTTGCACAGGTCCTGCAAGCCGTACTCCACCGACGAGGTCAGCACCTCCAGTGCCTGCAGGCAAAAGGGAACTTGTGAGAATCAGAGCGCAGGGCCATGGATGGGCACGGCAGCCCAAGGGCTTGTGTGCTCCTGCCTCCACGGGAGCTCCCAGGTGGAGTATGGGGGGTAAGGCTGCCATATGCAGGCAAATTTAAGTCTCCTGCTGTGGTGTCCCCATTCCCAGCATCCAGGGTGTGCACAGCCAGCTGGGACAAGGTGCTGTGGACACCCCACAGTGCTAGGCTGAGACCCCATACACTCACTGCACTGTTAGCCAGCCAGAAAGCACCATGCAGATCACCTCCTCCAACTCTGGCACACCAAGGCCTGCAAAGCACCCCCTACTCCTGCATCCCCCCCCTTGTCCCTCCCATGTCCACGGCGCCCACCAGCCCCATCCCCACTCACGATGTGGCTGTTGAGGGTGACACTGTTGGTGTAGAGGAACTCGATGACAGCCAGGAAGACCTCAGGCTGCACGTTGCCCAGGATGAAGGGGCCCTGGGGTGGGACACTGCTGGAGGAGTCCTGGCTGCCCACTGGCACCTGGGTGAGCATCCCTCGGAAAGCCTGACAGCGGCACGCCAGCACACAGCGGTGAGCAAACACCTTCTGCTGCTCCGGGCCCACCACGAACGTCACATCGCTGCAGGGAGAAGGGACCGTGAGGGATGGGGTGCCTGGAAAGCAAGGGCACAGGATGCCCTGGACTGGGACAGGGCAGACATGAAGAGACCTGCTGAGTGCCCATCCCAGCAGGGCAGTACCACTTAATTCAGGGGCTTTTAATGCTGTGTCCCAGCAGGGGCACAGAGGGGACCTTGTTGGCAGCTCCTTGCAGCCACTCGAATGCTTCAGGCAAGGTCAGCTGGGTCCTCTGGAAAGCACAGAGAGCCACGGGGACTGGCAGAGACAGCCCTGAGTGCCAGCACTGAGCAGAGCAGAGAAGGGCCAGGGACAGCTGGAGAAAGTGACTTTCTCTTTTGGCACAGCAGAGCGGAGGAAAGCGTGGCTGTCACCAGGATCAGCCTCCTTGACTCATGGGAACTGACTCATTGTCCCAGGGATGTGAAGCCTCCAGCATTGCTGCGGGTGGGGCTGGCACTGGCCCTCCCCAGGCCTGTGGGACATACTGGGCCACAAGGATATAGAATGAAGGTACAGGGTGCAGGCTGAAGGAGGAAGGATGCAGAATGAAGTAGATGTATGCAGAGCACAGATTACAGGCTGCAGGATGAAGGATGAGAGGTGTGGGATGCAAGATGTGAGCAGCAGGATGCGGGCTGGGGATGACCGGGCAGCTGCTTCCCCACTGCCCGATGCTGTGGCTGGGTAGTTTTCACTGGGATTTCTCTTCTAGGTGGCCAAAACTTTCAGCAGGGATGCGGATTTCCTCAGATAGCTCTGGAATTTGTGCCAGATCTCAACAGGAAGTAGACTAAGAGGACCACAACCAGGCAGGATGTACCATGCAGGTAAGGGACAGCCAAGGGAGCAGCTCTCCACTCTGAAAGGAGGTGTTAGGGACAGCCAGGCTGTCACTTGCCCCCTGGGGTGTGGGGAGGTTGGAAGTAAAGCGCCAGGGTGGGAAAGGAGCTGAGCACAGGAGGCTGCACATGGGGAGCACAGCGAATACCCCCACTCCTGGCAAGGGCAGGAGCTCCAGCATGAGATTTATGCTGGGACACTGCCTTGCCCTGTTGGCACCATGCCTGGGGACAGAGAGGGTCTGGGCACACCTGGGGACCTTCCCTCCTCCAGGCAGGCGGTGCCTGTCCCGGGGGAAGAGGCTCCTGTCGCCGCGCGGTTGCACAAGCCACGCGTGGTGACCCACGGCGAGCACAAGCCACAAGCTGTCCCCACCAGCTGCCCGGGGCTCCCTGCGCGGCCCCGCAGGCCCCAAAAACCCCCCTCAAGCAGCGCTCCGGGCCGCAGGGAAGCGGCACCGAGCGGGCAGCGGGGGCTCCGGCGTGGCTGGGCGGGGGGTGGCGGCCCCCCCGGCCCCTCACCTGAACTGGGGGTTGTTGACCAGGGTGCGCAGGGCGCTGCTGAAGGCGGCCACGTCGCCCTGCAGCCGCGCCGAGCAGGGCCCGGCCATGGGCGGGCGGGCGGGCAGGCAGGCAGGCAGGCAGGGAGGGAGGGAAAGCGGCGGAAGGAGGCGCTGGGAGGCTGGAGGGAGGCTGGTCTGGCCCGGCCGGCCCGGGGAGGCCGCGGGGAGGAGGAGGCCAACACGTGGCGTTTGTGTGACACGGCCCATCGCTGGGGAAACCCGGCGGGCAGCGCCGGGGCTGGGAGGCTGCGCTGCCCGGGGGGGGCTGCGGGAGGGAGCGAGGGGACAGCGAGACGTGCAGCCCACCCTTGCCCGCCGAGGCAGCTCGGTGTGGCATTTACCGCAGAGCGGCTCGCTCTGAGTGGAATTCCCTGCTGTGTTTCGTGGTAGGGCTCTGGCGCGCCTGGCACCGGGACCTTGCCCCTCCCAGCCGGTGGGTTCGGTGCACAAGGAGCCTGTGGATGGGGGAGATGGGGGTGAAGGGAGGCAGGCAGCTGGGGTTTTGGAAAAGGCAACAACACGTGCACAGGTTAAATGCACAGACATCACCCTCACCTCCACCTGCAGAGCCTCCATGGAAAGCTGCTGAGCATGGCTGGGTCCCCAGCACCAGCACTGGAGCAGACTGGAGCCCAGCGGGGGGATCTGCTCCCTGAAATGGCAAAAGTCTTCTCTCCTGTGATGTTCATGGCCAGAGCCCTGCAGTTCTCATGCCTGCTTAGGACACAAGCGATAAATCACAGGCAGAAAAAAGCATCACCAGTCTCACAGAAAGGCTTGGGTTGGAAGGGACCACCCATCTAGTTCCAACCCCAGGGGCAGGGATGCCACCCACTAGATCAGGTTGCTCACCTAAGCCCAAACGAAGTGCCATGCCAGGGGATGGCCTGTCCCCTTCCTTCCAAGTCTGGCTGGCCCCAAGCAGCCCAAGGAGAGGAATGCAGGCGGATTGCCCATGGAGGAATCCACCTTTGTCAGCAGGTGGTGTGAAGGAGAGGCAGGAGAGGGGCCTGGAGCTGACGGCAGTACCTCACGGGAGCAGGGTCCAGCTGGCAGTGCGCTTGGCAGCGCTAGTCAGCGGCAGGCTATAAATACCTCTGACAGGAGATAGAAACACAAAAGCCGTCTCCACTTTCCTCAAATAGCTCGGCAGCCGGGCCAGACAAAGGCACATTGATGGAGCAGCCGTGGCGTACCAGCTGGGTTGGGCTCCGCTGGTGGAGAGAAACCCTGCTCAGGGTCGGGAGCCCCCAGCGACCTTCCCCCAGGCATTACAGCAGCAGGGTCCCTGGCACGTGGCAGGGCTGGGCTCCCTCCCATCCCTGGAACTGTTCAAGGCCAGATCGGATGGAGCCCTGAGCAACCTGGTCTAGTGGGTGGCATCCTTGCCCATGGCAGTGAGGTTGGAATGAGATGATCTTTAAGGACCCTTCCAATACAGCCCATTCTGTGATTCTATGACTCATTATGTACCCACCCACCCACACTCTCCTTTGGTGCAGTGAGGGATATGCACCCAAAGGATGCAAACCTTCGGGTAAAATCAAGCTGGTAGAAGTCCCAGCCCCGGTGCATCCCATAGTTGGGGCACACAGTGGCTATTCTCCACGCCCTGTCTTCTCTTGCACATCCAACACCAGCCAGCATTTTTCAGGGCTGGTAAGGAGAGCTGAGGTTGGAGGGCACATGCCTGTCCCTGTGCTAGCACAGCTGAAAATGCAGAGAGAGGAGGAGCAAAGTGGGACAGGGCTGACCAGGAAATAAGGAGTTACAGAAGCCTTGCCCCAGAGCAGCCCTGGAGAGCTACAGTGTCACATAGCAACACTTCACGTTCAGGAACCCAACAGGTTTGTTCCAGGAGCACAACAGGTTTGGCCCTGCTCTCGGCAACTTGCAAGATAAAGGTCGGTCCTGGGCAGCAACATAGGCCAGAAACAAGTCCCCTGAGTTTACTTCAGCAGGCCAGGAGTAGGACTAAGGGTAAGTGTGGGATCAGATGCAGACAGAAGAGCTGGGGAAGGAGCTGCTCACCTGTGCCTGTGAAAAGCTGGGGCTGGGAGAGCAGAGGGTGGGGGGTGAACCGTGCATGGCTGTGCTGAAATCAGCCCCAGCTGGCTGAATCTGATGGGCAGGGAGGTGCGGAGATCAGAAGGCAGCTTCCATGGACTTGCCTCACAGGGATGCACATGCCAGGAGGTGTGAGATCTGCAAAGGGCAGGGAGAAGTGGAGAGGCAGTGGGATGGAGATGCTACGGGACACCTGCCTCAGCCTGACACTCAGAGCCTCATCTCCTTTCCAGGCCACCCCTATGGCTGAGCAGCCTTGCCCAGAGACAGCCCTGCCAGCCCAGGTGATGGCTGCAGATAACACTGAAGCCTCTGTGCTCCATGGCACACGCCGTGGCTCCCAGCCCCTAGCCCGGGGCTCCGAGGAAGGCAAACCACCACTGCTGCTCTCCCGCCGCAACTCCGTCCTCAGCCGCCGCAGCTCATTCGGGGTGGTCCCGGGGAGCAGGCGCCCCTCCATCGGCCCTTGGATGTTCCACAGACGTGTTAGCTTCTCTGGGCTCCCCATTTTCCAGCCCATCCTCAAGGCCCGCCTCAGAAACACTTATAGGATGGGGCCAGACGAAGGCTGCAAGTTCAACGCGGAGCAGATGCAGCGGGTGCTGGAGAGGGCCCTGGCCAGTGCCCTGGGGACCACTGTCTACAGCCCTCAGGGCAGTGGCCCACTAGCCCAGAGCTTGGTTGAGCTGCTGCAGAGCCGGGCCAAGGAGGTGGTGCCACCCCGCTACAAGCTGGTCTGTCATGTGGTGCTGGGCCAGCAGGGCCAGCAGAGCCTGTTGGTGGCCAGCCGGGCACTCTGGGACCCTGACACAGACAGCTTTGCCTCCGCCACCTTCTCCAATGCCTCCCTCTTCGCTGTGGCCACAGTGCACGGCGTCTACTTCGAGTAGCACGTGCCTCTCCCTCCACCCAGTCTTGTAGAGCTGTAGGGAAAGAGCTGCTGAAATAAAGAGGGTTTGCCCAGCTGTGGCTCATACCTGGAATCTCTGGTCGTGGTATGTGCATGGAGCAAGAGAGGGATGCTCACTCCAACCTCAGCTCACACCCACACTGTATCTCCCACTACTATGGTTCGCAAGAAGACCCAAGCAGCAGCAAACACAATCCTAAAAACAGGCAACTGCCCAAGGCTGTTGGAGCAGCCCAGGCTGCTTCCCACAGCACAAGCTGCTCCCAGGCAGATTGATTACACAGATCACCTTCAAAGCAAGCTCACAGGGCTCTTTCCTGGCTTCACGCCCAGCTCATATCCTATCACACAAGATGCCATAGTACAAGGACCCAGGCAACTCCTCCACCACCTAAGGCATAACTCCCCTGCCTTCTGCAGCTCAGCAGAACAAGGAGGGCAGATGGGTTGGTCCAAGTGCAGAGGGAATTGGGAATGAGTTTGGCAGCAGCAAGAAGCTCCAGGTCTCCACTGGCAACACCAAGAGCTAACTCTGCCCTTCCTGTCAGTGGAGGTACCACATGGACTCCTTGCACCCATTCCTCCCTGCCTCCCTGACCTTGTTCCCCAGCGACAGTCAGTGGCAAGAAGGGTTATCCCTGGCAGACAAAAGCAGCCCTAGAGCATGGATGATGCTGAAGCCTTCTGTGACTCCAGATTCAGACAAGGCAGACACAGTTTGCCCTTAAACAAATAAGTGTTTATTGAGGTGAGTCAGGGAGAGGGGAGCTGCACACAGACAGACCAACAGGAAAATAAATAATTCCATATAAATAAGATACATAAATAGTCCCACATGGCAGAGACTGCCTTGAAATAAGAAACTACCCTGGGTCCCAACAAGATGAGGGCTTCTCCAGGCAAGTCCTCAGATCCCATTCCCCACCCCCCCTTTATCAAACCTCAAGTTGTACCAGACAATTCACAATTTGGAAACAGACAGGGCACAGTTGGGCCCAGCACAACACCCTCCTTAGTGTAGCAGTTGTGGAGTGGCACACACCAGCCCACAGAGTCCCTGGCAGGGCAGGCATCACCCTTCATGCCTTGTCCACCCCGAAAAGGGGGTTTCCCTACCCCACAGCACCCAAGGCTTGAGGTCAAGGCTGTGCCAGTCCTCTCCAAGCTATGCAGAGGGTCTGTGCAACTGGTGCATCACCCTGGGCAGGCCAGGGCAGCCTGAGCTCCCACCACAGGCAGTTGCCAGCCCCAGACAAGACACAACCAGCCCCAAACCTGGCTGCAGGGTACTCACCCACCACCACCTCCCTGTACCACCCCAGTCCACTCCACCAAGATCAGCACAATGAGAGCAGGAGCCAGAGATGGAAAGACAGCGATTGCCCAGAGCCAGGGAGCAGCAAGGGTATCCAGACCTGCTGCTGTAACCACATCCACATCTTAGTCCAGAGTCCAGCTGAGCACTGGGATACAAAGTGCCCAGCTGGGCAGCCAGCACCACAACATACCTCCCATCCCATGGGAGGGCAGGAGGAGACCTCTATGTCCAGAGAGGGTCTCCCAGGGTCCCATGCTAGGCCTCAGCCCATTCCTGGAGGAGCTTGAGGATGTATCTGAGGCGGTGGTGGAGCTCAGGAGAACAGCCCAGCTCCTGGATACTGCACAGCTTGTAAGTGTAGGAGTTGCGCTCCCGGTTGATGTAGGTGACAAGGCAGGAGTGGTCAGGCTTGCTAATGATCACCTTGGTGTGGTCGTTATAGAAATTCACCTAGAAGACAGGTTGGGCTTGGTTTAACCCATGCTTCCCACAGCATGTTGGGAGCCAAGAGGCAGCCACACTTCCTGCCTCAACCCGTTCCTCCTCCCCAACCTGCCTGGGAGCATCCCTGCTCCGTGCCCCATGCCAGGAATGCGGCGGCCCCAGCACTGGGGCAGACGGAAGCATCCAGCTGAAGCATCATGTCCCCACCCAGGGACTGGGGAAGCTGCAACCAGCATCTCCAGGCACTGGAGAAGCATCTTGCACCCACAGCTGTTTTCACAGCTGGATTTTGCATTTGAGCTGTAGCAGACAAGATCCAACACAGGCCAGGAGACACCATCTGGCCTCTTCCTCACAAGGGTCTAGGCTTCTCCACTGTGCTCCACACGTACCTGGAGGGTGCCATTGCTGAAGAGCATGAGCAAGGCTTGGTCAGTCTTCACCCACTGCAGGAGGAGCAGGGCCGGCTGCCCGAGGTCATCTATGCTGGGCAAGTCACCTCCCTTGGAGAGAAGGGTCTGCATAAGCCACTGGTCCCGTACACAGCAGCACTTCCACCAGCACACACACCACCAAACCTGGACACCCCGCCCCTCAATGGGGTCCCCACTCCCAGGACACAACTGAGTGTCCACCAGGCCACAGCCTGCAAAAGCAGGGAGTCCAACCAGCCCACAAGCAGTGTGGTCAAGCCAAGACCCAACATCCGGCCCTGGGCCCCCAGCACCCACCTTCATGAGGTGCTGCTCCATGTAGGACGCAAAGTAGCGCAAGACACTCATCTGTCCCTGCAGCTGCTCGGGGATGGCGGCCACAGAGAACACCAGGTGTTTGCTGTTGGTCGGGTTGTAATGTACAGTCCTGCAGGGAGCACAGCGTGAGCCTCAGGGACGTCCAGCACCAAACCCACCCTGGCACAGCCTCCCCTTGGCCCCTTCCCACCCACAGGGCTGAGACAGACACCAGCCCCGCTCCTGCTGCTCACCTGTGGTTGGGGGAAAGCGTCATGTGCGTGCCGTTGTTGAAGAGGACCCCGATGCTGCGGTTGGAGAGCTGGTAGCCAAAGCCATACTTGTTGGAATAATCCACCCACTTGCTCACCCAGACAAAGTGCTCGTGGCGGGCCAGGGAAGCCGGGTTTTTCTCCGCTGGCGGAGAGGAGAAGAGGTGGTGAGCAGAGCAGGCAGCCAGTCCCTCCCCCTTTCACCTCCCCCACAGAGGGGAGCAGACCCTTGCAGCAAGCTCTGGCACCATTTAAGGTGCTGTTTGTTCCCCAAATAGCAGCCATGCCTTCATCCCAGGGAAAAAAGGGATGCACAGCACCCTACCCCATGCCAGAGCAGTCCAACCAGTTTACCTGGGGGCATGGAGGAGAGGCAAGTCCGCAGGAGCCGGACGGCCGACTCGATGACGGCAGAGGCGGTGATGCAGTCTTCAAAGGCTGCAGGGAGAAGATGACAGGCTGAGTCAGCCGGCCCCGCTATCAGCCAGGCAGCACAGGAAGCCCAGGGCAGGCTGGGGTGGCAGGGGCAGGTGTTGCTCACCCTCACAGCTGCTGGCCATCGTTCCCCGGATGGAGGGGGACACAGACTTGTGAGATGTCTCCTCCACCACTGTCTCCACGGGGCTGGAGCTGGCACTGCGGCAGGACACAGGAGTGGCCTGGGGAAGAGACCCGGCTTTACCACCGTCCTGCCCGAAAGAGGGGCACACGTGGCCTCAGAGATGTTCTCACCTCGTTCCCTTCCACAGTTTTATAGCTCATTTGCCGACAGATCGAGGTCTTCATCAGCCCAGTGACCAGCTTGGAGATGTCATCCTTGTCCTCCGGAGAGCCCTTCTTGGCTGAAAGGAGAGCAAATGATGAGCACACGCTGCTGAGCACAGTGGATGGGGACATCTGGGACATCACTCCCAGTAGTTCAGCTCTCCCTTATATGCTCCCATGCCCAGGGTGGCAAGGATGGTCTCAAACAGCTGCCTCCCACTTTCACTTCCCAGTTCTCATGCTACACAGGGCTTTCAGGAGGAACTGCCCCATGGGTTGCGGCACAGCATCCGCTCTCCAGGCACACACCCATGCCAGGCCACCAGCACGAGGAGGGCTCGCCAAGCCCAGCTCCTGCTGTCCCCAGGCAGGGGGACCACAGAGACCCATCAGATCTCTGCAGAAGACAGGACACACTTCTCCCTGGGTAGAAGGGTCACCCAGAGCCTCCCTGGCAAGTGCACAAACTCACCTTTGGGTTTCTTCTTTCCAAAGAGCGTCTTCGTGACTTTAGCAAACAGAGTCTTTGCAGGGTTCGGGGGACTCAGTTCTGGAGCCATCACACAGCTGCTGGGAGGGAGCTTCTCAGGCGTGTAGCCCTGCAGAGAGGTCAAGGAAAAGGTTTGGTTTCCATAGGCCACATGCTCCAGGCAGAGCAGCTGCCCTGGGCTGACCGCAGTCATTCACATCCCTCCTGACAGCCAGCTTGTGTTTCCGTCAAGCCTTGGAAGCATGACTGGCATCAGTACAGGAAACAACCCCTTGCTATAGCAACAAGGCAGCAGGAACACACCAGATCCCTCAGTTCCCCTGGCTGGCATTCAGGCAGGGCAGCGGCTGCATCCTTTGAAGGACTGAGACTTGGGCTCCAAGGACAGCCCCCTGCACAGCCCAAAAAGCTTCATCCGCCTCATCCCACCTGGAGAAGGGTCCCTACACACCCAGACCCCGCCATGCTCACCTTGAAGAACTCATGGTCCAAAATCTCCTCAAGGGTGAGGCGGTCCTGGGGGTTGCGTCTGAGGATGCCAGCGATGAGATGCTTCGCGGGCAGGGAGAGGAAGACAGGGAGGGTGTATTCCACCTGCTTGATGCACCTGTAGGTCTCCTTGAGGTCAGAGGTCTCGAAGGGAGGGTTCCCACACAGCAGGGTGTACCTGGGAGGGGACATGCATGCCACTGTCACATCCCCACCAGGCTTGTGACTCAGCAGCACTTAAAGCAAGGAAGTTATTGGCATTTGGTTGGCCACACCTGGCTGAGAGCACCACTTCCAGCCTGGACAGCCATGCTCACATCCGGCCACACTTCCTCCTAGCAACGGCTCAGAGCAACAGGCGAGGAGCCCCAGGGAAGGACAGAGGGCTGGCAAACAAAGCCTACTCTCTGCCACCGTTTCTCCCACCCCCATGTGGCTGCCGGGGTGGAAAGCAGAGCAGGAAGCTTACAG